CCAATCAATCAATCAATCAATCAATCAATCAATCAAACCCCTTTTTTTTTTTCTTTTTTTTTTTTTGCATCTGCATTTTTTCAAAACCCGTCATACTTCTGCAAAAAAAATCCTGCTTTTCTTTATATATATTGTTTTATTTTGTTTAAATCGATTTTAGTTTTTGATTTTTTTAAAATCTTAAACAAAGTCGGATTCCAAAAAAAAATATATAGGAGTGTAGGGTTTTTTAGCCCTACACGCCCATATTTTTTTCTTTTTTTCTTTTCATGCATTAGAAGAAAAAAAAAAAAATCTTGCACCGAAGTCGGAACCCGGCCGATTCGGCCATCGGCCTAGGCCGCGGCAGACTTGGACCCCCCGGCTGCGGCCGACTTGGACCCCCCGGCCGCGGCCGGGCGTGCAACATAGAAGCAAACAAGTACACTACATCCGACTTAAATCGGATTCCAATAATGAATGCTTCGTCGGTGCGGACAAACACCCATTGTCATCTGGCTTCGTGCAATAATGGCCGACAGTACACTGACCGTTGTCAGCTTCCTGTAATCTTGAACAAGCCAGCAGCGTGACCCTTAAACACGGCAGACGTTTCGGCCGGTCGCCAGCCGGTCATCATCAGGGGTCAGAAACGTCGCGAATTGAGGAGGATTTTTTTTTTTTTTTTTTTTTAAGCTCCAGTTTATTCGTGGGGAGCAACACATGCTGGTAACCGGGCCCCGCGATTTGAGGAGGATTAGTACTGCGTCACTACAACCTTAAGTAATCCTTCGACAATCCGTAGAATCCTCAATTGCCTTGTAGAAAATCTCAACGCCAAAAACCCACGTTTCGAGAGAAAATATCCAAATTCGGAGACAGGAAAGTACCAATCCTTAACTAACCTACATACCCAGTCAGATTCAACAGTCGCTAAGAAAAGGAACAGGCCCAAAAACAAAGAGCCTATATCCTGTTCCGGCCGTACCAAACAACATAAACCTGTGTCCGAAGCCCGTGGATCGGAGACCATACTCAACTGTACCCCTCGATAATCCATCATCAGCTTGAAACAAAAAAAAACTCGAAAAGCATTCACACCATCTATCCTAGGACCAGCTCATGGAGAAAAACAACCTTGAGACTGAAATACGAGTCTGAAATGACGAAAAACAGGGTGGCATTTAACACATAGTGAATCAGAGAGACTAGAAGAAGATAGAATACACCTCAATAGCAAGAAACATCCGCAGCATGCGAGCTCGAACTTCAAAAAATGGCAGGAAAATGTGCCCGGGCGCCCCGGCTGGTAGCCTAGCTGGTTGGTCCTTTTTTTTATTGGAAAAAGGATCTAACTTTATTGATACATGTCAGAGGCGGGCTGCGGCGATGCCGCGGCAGGCGGGGCACAGCGTGAGTATGTCCCAGCGGGTCTCAGTGTCAGTAGATCGTAAGGATGGTTGAGTGTGTGTGCCCTTTTTTTTTTTTTTGAGTGTAAGTTTCCTGAAGTCCGAATGTGAGTATGTCCCAAACAGTCCCAGAAATTGGTATGCCCGTAACTGCGGACAAATACTTTGAAAACAAATCCCGGTGTGACTATGGACTAAGGAGCTGTCACACACACACACACACACACACACACACACACACACACACACACACACACAGAGAGAGAGAGAGAGAGAGAGAGAGAGAGAGAGAACAGGTAAGTCTCCAGCCTCGTGGCTATCCTCACGCGACTTCCATTGATAGGATGAGCTAAATCGAATGGAACTTCTGCTAGAACATGGAAATATACACTCTGCCTGGTTGAATCTGCCCAACACATGGCGTACAACACTTTCGGTAATCTACGGCGCGGCGCGAAACAAACCCGCAGCGAATAAAGACCCCGTTCATAAAGCCGCTGCAACACCCAACTGTACCAAGCGCCCCCCAAAAAAAACAATGTCCGAACGCGCGGGCCCGCCTGCCCAAGTGGCAGGCCAAAATGTAAAATGGTCGGCCCTCCCCGATTCCAAAAGCGACCCGGCCAGTCTGTCTTTTACGCCGACACTGAGACAAAATTTGAGACTTTCCTTTGGATGCACGTTTTCCTTTTTTTGTTAATTCCCCTTTGGGACTAGGTCTCCCAATCTCTAAAGGAGGATCTAAGTGTCAGCTCTGCCTATGTCTAAAATATTATGGAACAAGGATTTGGTGGGCCGAACTGCCAGTACACGGCCCCAGCCTTGCTGAAAACAAAACTCGTCGCCTGCATGATTTTTGTAGGCCCAGCGCCGTATATAAATGGAATTGGTGGCGGGCGGCCTCCAAAAAGGGCCTGTGGCCGATAGCTGGACGTACTGGTGGTTTAAACCGCCAGTAAACAGCCCTAGCCTGGCTGACAAGACACTCGTTGCCTGGTCCGAAAAGTTCGGTGCTGGCACGCTGTTGATAAATTCCATCAATGGCAATGTCGCGTTTCGGGCCTCCGAAACTCGCGGAGAGGGGTCCCCGGCCGATGTATGGCCCAAGTACTGGTGGTTCAACGAAAAATGGGTCAAGCATCTGAATATAAGGATGGGGAGACTTGTTCGCATTGAAAATTTTCAAAACTATGAAGCCAAACCCTGTTCAACCACCAATACTTGGCCCAGCTATCGGCCGCGGGAAAAAGAAGAGTAGAAACGATTCTAGTCGGATGAATTTGGGTGCTCCTGTAGTAGCCCGTACGTTTCCTAAAATCGTGGCACGTTAACGGGCACGACTCGAGGAAGTACTGGTGGTTTAAACCACCAGTACGTTTCGCGTCCATTTGTCTCCAATGCAGCGTGCATGTGCTGCAAGATTCGTGGCAGATTGTCCATGGAACAAATAAGCTTACCCGCCAGGGACTGGTTGGTAAATTGGTCCAGGTGAATAAACCTTACTGAAAAAAAAAAACAAAAAACCCAAAAGAACTGGTCCACACTGGGTCGGATCTATTGGTGGGGAGCCACACCTGCTGGAAACTGGGTCCAGCGTCCCATGATACTTCCACAGTACATCCGGAATGTCAACACATGTGTCAGCCTGCCAGCATTGATTGCCCTGGCTCACAGGGGATTAACTGAGCAGGATGTGAATTGGGTGTGGTCTGCAAGAAAAGGATTGAGAGGGAAAAGAGGTCTCTTCACCCTGCTGCATGGCGCCTGATCGTGCTGGCCCCGCTTTGGGTGCAGCCTTCTTGTGAAGTGATCAACCAGCCCTCCCGGGGGGCACCGGGACTTGCTGTGTTGTCACACAATGATTTCCATCAGGGCAAGG